ATAGTGGAAGGAAGGTTGAATGGAGTGAGAGATGAAGGGGTAAAAGATGCAAAATAAAAAATAAAATTTGAAAACTGAATATTTTTGATAGAATCCAATTCCATCAATTTTGGTGGAATTGATTTTTAGCAAACCAAACTAACTATGTTTTGAATTCCATTTCTATTTTCATTTCCAATTCTCAAAGCAAAATTTCAATGTACCAAACGGGACCTAGATTCATAAATAACATTCTTCAAACTAATAAATCAACATTAATTTAATTAAGCATGTTCAATTACTCTCTTCCTCATCTTCCCTCTGTTTCCCTCTCAGCTTTGTGCTAGGGTGCAATTTGAAGGTTTGTGTGGGAACACGGTACTCATCTCAATGCCTAACTTCATCGAAGTTTTCAAAATTTGTGGGGAGACATATGCCCACCCTTATTGCAACATATATCCTTCATTGCTTCTTCGTCTTTCCTTCCCTTCATTAAAATTCCTTCCATTTCCCAACCAAATATAGTGTTAAAATTTAAAATCTCTCTATTTATTTGATAAAGTACAATAATTTATACTGTAAATGTGCAGTAAAAATATTGTACAGCTTTTAAAATCATATTTTTTACAAACTTAATAACATAAAAGTTATTTTGGATAAAAAACCATAAAAATATTTTTAATCACATTTTTTAAATTATATTTATTTTTTATCTTTCATTCTAAATTTTTTGAAATTATGTTTTTTTTAACTTGTATATAATTAAAATAAGTTATTAATTTTTAATGACATATAAAAACCCTTAGTGCATGGGTTAATACATTCTAAAATAAAATATATTGTGAAAATTTTTAATTCATATAGGGCAACAAATTTCTGTTATCTAAATTTTTATATTAACATTTTTAATTCATTTACGGAGTAATAAATTATTATGCAGTTCCATGCATATTATTATCCAGACTAGATTTTAAATTGCATCAGTGGAGTATTATAAAAGAAAATAAAATATGATTTATATTTTCAATATGTAAAGGGATAAAAATTTAAAAAACTCTATTTTTTTAATTTTTAACACGTACGGGTAATAACTTATAATGTTTTGTACTTTCTAAAATATTAAATATGATGGTTGTTATCTAAACTTTTTAACATACTCCCTCCAAAAATATAAGGAATTTTTTTGAGATAAAATATTAAAAATATAAGGTATTTTGAATCTTTTAAAATGCGGTTAATGAGATTTTTTAAAAAAAATGTACCTTTAATTAGGGCTATAATTAATAAATTTTTTTAATTAAAATGTCTTATTAAATAAGGGTAAACACAAAAAGAATGTATGATTTTAAAGACACTTAACTAACTTATTGAGGATGTGATTTGATTAAAAATGATTTATAACATTGAACAAATGGAGTATTATTTTTATTTTAATGAGTTCATTTTTAAAAATGAAAAAATAGGGTTGAAAGTTTTTAATTGATTTTTATTTTTTAAATTATCACTTTATTAAAATTTTATGTCCTTATTTGTCTATTTTTTTTTAAATCAAAGTCACTAAAATTTCTACTTCATCACCTCTACTCTTCTTAAACTAAGTAGAAAGTTAATGTCTGCATTATACAAGGTCTAAAGTCTTTTTATTATATAATTAACATGTAGCGTTGCACTACCCAAGTTTTCCTCTTTTTTTAATTTTATTTTTAAATTTTATTATAATAAAGAAGTATGTGAATTAGGAGGCGATTGGCTACCTGAGGTGGTATTGCACAAATGAAACTCACATCACCAACGTACACGTTTTAATAAAGAAGCATGTGGACTAAGAGGCAATTGGCTCAATGAGGTGGTATCACACAAATGAAGTTTGCATAACTAAGGTACAAATTTTATCTTCTTGGGTTCACGAACCTTTCTTATAATTCAAATTGCTTGGCGAAATTCTGACCTTCTTTTTATATTTTCCCATTGATAATAATTTTTAGCTATGACTTTTTCTCATTTACTAAAGTAGGGATCTATTTCTCTTTTATATTCTCTTGTGCAAATTCATATAGAGACATTTATATCAACAATAAGCATTCTCGTGACTTCTCTATTATATTTTTTTCGAGAGGAGAAAACATAGAATATTAGCAGTTGATTTTATTATAATTTAAGCAGCACTTTGATCCTCACCACATAAATAAAAAACTAAATTTCATGCATTACATTAAGAACATGCATAACTTCACTATATGCCTCCTATCTACATGTGGTCACTGCGTGATATATAAGTAGAGTCGGGAAAATGGGCCGAGCCAGTCGGGCTAGCCTGTTTAAGCCCGTATAAGAGTAGGGCCGGACTTATAAATAGGACTCCAAAATGATAAATCGGGCTTAAAAGGGCCGACCCTGCAGGGCCGAGGGCCAGCCCGTTTAAGCCCACATATGTATTTTTTTAATTAATTCTCATAATTTTTACTCTTTTTACATTTGAAAAAAAATTAAACTAAATGTTACTCCACATCACATGTTAGCCCATATTTACTGAGGATGGAAGGTAAAAAAGAAGAAGAAAAAATAGCAATGAAGAATCATTGATCAAAAATTATATCAGTCAAAAATCACTTATTGTCAAAATTTGAGTAGATACTTGTGAATTCGAGTTAGCCTTTATCAATAAGTATTCATTTAGATTTTAATAATAACTCATTTTAAATTAACAATAGTTCATTGTAACTTGTTTTTCATTCAGGTTTCAACAATAATTGATTCTTAATTGATATAAATTTCATACAGAAATCCTTGGCTGCCATTTTCTAAAAAAAAAAATACAACCTTAAATCCCCTAATTCATTTAGATCCATGATAATGATTCATTCAGTTCAACATTTACTCTTTTAATTTTGATTGGGTGTTTGTCGGCTTAACCGATCTATTACTTATTGCATTTTTATTATTTTATTTGTGTTTTTAGTTCATTTAGATATTATTTAGTTAGTTTTTTATACCTTTTTTGATTAAGTATTATATTAGAATGAAGTAATTTTTTGTTTGATTAAAAAATTTTAAAAAATAAAAATAGTTAAAAGGGCCTAAAGCCCGCGGGGCCGGCCTTGAGCCCTTCATGTCAAGGGCCAGGCTTCGAAAATCAGAATCCTAAAAAAAACTCAGGCTTAAAAGGGCCCTTTTAAGGCTTGAGCCCTTCAAGAGCCGGCTCTTTTTACTAGCTCTATGTATAAGACACTTCATATTTAAGAAACATGTAAGCTTTTACTCTAACGATCCTGACAATAGGTAAAAAATTAAAAAATAAAAAATCACATTTTAACATAGGCCTAAGGCACGTCAAATTTATAAAAACAAATTATTATTTTGTTAACGTGGGCTTTGCACCCACAAAAATTTCCTTAATAGTCATATTAGCTAGAACCTTTATAATTATTGCATAATTGCTTAGTTTTTCTTAATTAGAACTGTGCAATGCTATCTCCCAAGACCTCATAAAACATAAGACTCCACTTTAAATGTCATTAAGATGAGCAAATGATATAACTTTCACTCTTCCTACCATATTCATGCAAAAATACATTATATTTTCATTTCTTATATTAATGACTTGCACAATACAGTGCATGTTCCATTATTATTATTTAATTTATATTTATACTTATTTTCCTAATATGAATAACAAGTAAGATCATAATTCAATGGTAAAAAAAAAGTAAGATCATAGTTTTTATATTAAAATTATTTTCTTTTATTATATCGATGCACTTTTATTTATTTTTTAATATATTGATACCTAACGTATCAATCATGTGATTCAATATATCACGTGCATTGCACAAGTCAAAAACTAGTTTAATTATTATTAGATCATATTAGATAAGGTGAACTATGGTAGATCTCACTATTTGATATTTTCCTTTTGTTATTTCTTATACAGATATGATACCTGGTATTATCACCTGGGATGAAGCCAAAAATTTTGTTTGGACATATGTCAAAATGAAAAAGCATATATGATAATAATAAAAAATTAAATTTATATATGTTGTTAGTATATTATAAATATTTTAACTTATATATTTATATTTAATTTTGCACGAGCGCACACACAACAAATATATATATATATATATATATATCATTTTTTAATTTTTTCTCATTAATTTTTCATGATATAAAAATAATTAATTATCATATTTACGACAAAAATTTTAAAAATTTCATTTTCAATATAAACTATAATTAAATTAGTGAATATTTCATCTTCTCCTATAAGTATTGAATAATTTGAATGCATATTTGGAATTCAAAGTTTTGTTCAATATAAAAAACTCTATTATTTGCTTAAATTTACTATTTAATTCATTCAATTAATATATTCTTCATTCAATATATCTTGCGATTTTTGTTGTAATGCTTTATAAAATTGTTAGTAATAATTTTTCTAATTTTTTTCATTAAATATAAAATAAAAGTAAAATTAAATAATATCAATGCTTTAAAAGCAATTGTAATGTTATCTTGTTGAAAATAATTAAATAAATTTTATGACAACTATATTTTTAAATTATTATAACAGTTGCACTATACATGTGTAAATTAAAAGACTACTATAAAATTGAAATAAAAATTTCTTTAGTGTTTTAAGGCTTTTATAATATATCAACTTAAAATTTGAAAATATATAAACTCCATAATTTACTGAGAAAAAATTAAAAACTTAGGGGGATCATGACTTCTGTTGGTTCTCCTCTCTTCACCTTGATTATCAAGTTAAATTTGAACACCACCACCACTCAATTGGAGTGGGATAGGTCTCTTGAAAGCAATCTTGGCATTATATTTAATTAGTTTTTTAATTAAGATAAGATTACAACCAAAAACATAACATTATAAAAAATGAATTTGCACGGCAAGAGTTGCAAGTTGCGCTAAACTAGGAAGTATTTCCGAGGCTTGCGTTTCATGTCACGACGGGCAGGTTGGCTACCACTTTTATGGGTAACAACCTCAACCTAAAACTCCCAAATCCTTTATATGAGCATTCGTTACCACCATCACTATACTTTCTCCTCTAATTTTTCCTGGTCTCTTTTGGTTCATTTGTCTTCTAGCACCAGCTCCTTCCAAAAAAAGATTATTTGTTGCTAACAAAACTCAACTTGAATGTCACATTTTGTATTTCTTTTAACCTTTTCTCACCCTCTCTGATTCGGATCCTGTTAATCAGAGATTGAGAGGGGAATGGAGATCTTCCAAAGGGCCTATGTGGTGCGTTTGAGGAGCCACCATGACAAATACTTGATCGCCGACGACGATGAAGAAACTGTTCGTCAAGATCGTAATGGGTGCTACAAGAACGCTAAATGGAACGTGGAGATCGTCGAGAATTCCAATTGCTTACGATTCAAGAGCTGTTACGGAAAATACTTGACCGCCTCCAATTTGCCATTCATATTTGGGTCTGGAGGCAAGAAAGTGCTCCAAACTCTTCCCAGAAGATTAGATTCCTCCCTCGAATGGGAACCAATCAGAGAGGGCGTTCAGGTGAGACTCAGGACCCGTTATGGCCAATTCCTGCGTGCCAACGGAGGACTGCCTCCATGGAGGAACTCCGTCACCCACGACATCCCTTACAGAAATACGACTCAGGATTGGATTCTCTGGGATGTCGACGTCGTCGAGATTCGCTTGCAACAAGTTCAGCAACATCCCAAACAGCGACCTCGTCCCAAGCCTATTGCCCCGCCCCATCGTTCCGTGAATCCAGCCCCAACCAATACTTCTGCTTCCGTTTCGGGTGGTGACAACTTCTCCAAAATTGAGCTCAGGTCTCCAAAAACAACTGAGGTTTGTTTTGTTCTTTAAAAGAATGTGTTTGTTCATGTGAAACATTCGATTGGGAATTCTGACGTGGAGAGGGAAAAAAATTTCTGTTCATTGTCACGTGCAGGTGAAAGAGTTGGAGGAATACGCGCTATCGCCAAAGAAAGAAGGGAGGACAATTTTTTATGAAGTGGGGGATGAATATGGGGATGTTGAGCCTGGAAAGGAGAAGTTCTTCACATTCAAGGGAAGTTCTGTGAATGAGTTGAAGGAAAAGCTGAAGGAAGAAACGGGGCATGATGATATTCTTGTGTGTTCCCGTAATCCTTTGAATGGGAAGCTATATCCCCTTCGCTTACACCTACCACCCCACAATTCTGATATGCATGTCATCGTCGTTCCTTCCACATTCCAAGGTGAGGTCTTTTGTGTCTCATTTTCTTACACTCAACGTTTACCTATCCTCCTTAATTAACTTTCTGACAGCTTATACTGCTGCCTCACATTTTTCCTCCTTTCTCATGTACCTCTTGGATTTCATCATTCTGAATTTGAAAGTCTGTAATTTTTCTCCTACCCACGATTTGATTATGTTCTGACATCAACTGCCTTGTTTAGCGTAATTGCTCTGAGCAATAGTCGGCCTAAGGATGCCAGGAATTTCATCAGCACTGCTATCATAGGAGTCTGCAGCTCATTCAGAAGTTGAAATGTGACATTTGCCAGATGCAAAACTGCAAGGTAACACATCACAAAGCAACTGGACCATTCAATCAGCTGTAAATCCAACAATGCTTTCCAAGTTGGTGCAGGACTAAGCCATTTGAGATGCAAACGCAGAGTGATATTTTTTATGAATTTATCTTTCTTCTCAAATTCTGTACTAAAAAAAAAATCTATGGGGTTTTCTCATCTGATAATTTTTACCACTCATTTTATTCATTAGATGAATAGCCAAGAAAGCACAGATCGGTCTTAGTAAGTGAAATAATTGTTGCCTCAAGCAATGTTAAGAGAAAAGCCTACGTGTGCAAGATGTATGTCTCTGATGTATATTCTGTTACAAAATTAATTCAAGATATGTCTATGAACTGAACAATGGGAAAAAATATTGAGCATGTGATGCAATTTACAAGAGATAAAATGCCTTTAAATTTCTAAAATTGTAAGCAACAGACAATATCTTGAAAAGGAAAGAGAGGCAAGTAGGCAACTATAGTAAATGTCATGACCAAATTCACAAGGATGCTAACTATCTGATATAAGGATCATGTTGGAAACACGACTGAAGTGTGTATAAGGAATTCGTGACGGGGGCGAATCCTATGCGGGGAGGATCATGTAGGACACCATCCTATGTCTTTTTTCTTTGGACTAGAAAGAATCTGACAGGTGCATAGTACTATATTTCTTTTCAAAGGAAAGTTACATCATTGTCATCATATCATGCTTGATTATTTTGCTAATTTTTTTAGTCATCTCGCTGTAATACAATATCATGGCAACATACCAACACATACATTTCAGGAACTCCATATGGTTATAAATTGTCAAAATTTTATACTGTGAAGATTATGCAGTAAAACTCACCAGTCATCCCCCGCCTGGTGTGGAGATGAGGACATGAGATATACTTAAATAAGAGCCCACAGCCTTCTCTGTCCTGACACTACACGCTCTTCAATACAGAGGGAACATATTGATTAAAGTCCGCAAACATTAGTCCCAGCACATTACCTATCTCAACTCGTTGACAGTTTGACATGTCTGCAGAAACAAATTCATGACTCTATTAAACTGCATCCAGATGGTTTCTTTTATCCACATATAATCAATCAATTTTCATATCTTACGTGCATCTTCCTTACAGTAAGCGTTCAAGCACTCTTTTCAATAAAAAATATAATGTATTTTTTGAGGAGTTGAATGTTAAAAAATTTAAAGTATTTATAGTTTTTTTAGATGTAATTATTGTCTTTTTTTTTTTTTAATACACCTGACTTTTTATTTATTGTAGGGTTTGTTTAATAGAAATAAATATAAAAATATAGGGTTAGTTAAAAAGTAAATAAATATTTTATTAAGAGATAAGATTCAATTAAAAATATCTTATATTTTTAAACAAAGAGTATATGTTAGATAATTGAACGTATGCTCGGTCACCTTTATCTAACAGTAAAAGCTCTTTGACAGCAAAGCTTGGCAACATTATTATGGATTCGATAGTCGGTAAGGAAGGCACCGCATACAGAGGCCAGCGGCTTCATGGGCACACTTCTTATCAAATGAAGTGATTCATCTAATCCACCTGCCTGCAGAGTAAATATAAATGTTTGGGGGTGTCCTGTAACTATATTTTGAAATTTTATATAATTTATTTTTATGATCAATATTAAGAAATTTTAAGGGGATACAAATAAAATTTTCTTTTGGAGAAAAAGAGGAAAGTATATTTAAAAATGTAGTTACTAATATTAAATTATTTATGTGAAAAAATAAAATTTAAAACTCTTTGAAATGATAGAGTCCAATTCAGTTCTTCTCATATCTATTATAAATATATATATTTTTAAATAAATATTTTTCATTCCTAGTAGTAAGAACAATAAAAAATTATAACTAAAGATTAATTATATGAAAATCAAACTTCTTTACTAATAATCTCAACTATAAAATTATAATTTCATTGATTTATGTTTTTTCCCCAAGAAATTATGCTTATTATATAAATCAACATATACTCCATCAAATATTAAAAAACAGAGAGAAGTGGGGAAGAAGAAGAATGACAAATGTGAAAAAGACATAGGGTTAAAGGCAAATCTACCCAAAAAATTTTCTTCATGAGCACCTAATATTATTAAGTGAAAGAGGATGCAAAATTATCCCTAATGTTCATTTAACAAGTGTAACTGTGCCAAAACGTTTAAGAAGCTCAACATTGACCGTGAAACTAGACACGTAAGCAAACGGCCGAATTATTTTGCTGGCGTGGATTCTGTCCTGGTCATATTACATCACTTTTTTCTTACCAAAATCCCTTCTTCATCCTTCTCTCAGTCTCTCTTTTGGCTATCGATGGCAACTCTCCCTCGACTAAACAAGTCCGCCGGCAACCCTTCCTCTCCCTCAGCTAATCGTTAGTTCCACAAAACAATATATCCAGAATTTACATTCAGAAACAATAAATCCAGCATTAGCCTACTTGGTTCTGCTACCCTTTTTTCAAATCAACGCTGAATTAAAGCCAAAGATTTCAAGTTTCCCCCCATTGCTTTCCCCCGTATAGAAGCTATGATTTTCCCCCTTTTCATGGTATCTACATGTTTGGAAACTAGAGTGATTAGCCAACTTGATTGTATTGATTTTTTTAGGCATTTCTTCACAAACGAGAGAGGCTTGTGATTTCGGAGTTATCATCGCAGAATTTTGGAGAAGGAAAGGAGGAAATTTCACCAAATGGGGTTGTTGCCATTGAACCCGAACCTAGAAAGAGAGCATGGCCTCTGTGTCATCTCTCTCTATTTTGACTTCCCCTAGATGTCTCTCTTCGACTTTTCCTCACGTTCTCTTTGTCATGACTCGACACCTATAACCAGTCAACCACAACCCTCGCCTCTTTCAGTCTTCAACTTTACTCTTCAGTCGACAGTCACCTCCTCTTCTCCTCAGCCCCCGCAAGATCGCTTGTGACACTGCAACGGTGGCCGAGTCCGATGGCTTGAGTGGCATAAATGCCAAAAGTTTCAAGCAAACTAAGGGTGGCGTAGAGATTGCAGAGGCCAGCTAGCTGAGTGGAGATGGTTTCTACGATTGGAGTACAGCAGGAGTTGAGTGGCGTGGTGGAGGAGTTAATGGAGTCCAAGTAGAGGGAGAATGGGGCCTGGGATAATAGAAATAGAGAGAGAGAGAGAGAGAGAGAGAGAGAGAGAGAGAGAGGAGTTCCATATTACACATGAAAGGGAGACTGGGAGAGAATGAGAGGAGAGAGAAATTTTGAAGGACATGTGGAAGGAGGGAAAAAGTCAATGGATGATTTGGCAACACATGGCAAGTACCTTTTGCAAATATAACGGACGTTAAGCTCCTCAAACGATTTCGGCACAGTCACACTCATTAAATAAACATTATGAATACTTTTACACTTTTTTTTTCACTTAATAATATTAAGTGTTTGTGAAAGAAAACTTTTTGAATAGATTTTTCCTTTAACAAATCTGTGAAGAACAAAATGATGATATAGAAATATGTAAAAGAAGATGGATAAGGGCATAAGAATTCCCCAAATGATATTTAAT